ATGTATTATTCTGCAGAAGTGAGAACTTGGTTTCAGAGAGGATTCAGAGAGTATTATATAACAAGAGGCTGAATAAAACTAGGTCTGCAGGGGCACACCAATTCAAGGACTTTTCTTTCCCTTAAACTTTTCCTGGAAAGGGTGAAACCGGGCTTCTTCTTGGAGGCAAGGATTCTGAAGCTTCGTCTGACATACTTTGGGCATGTTGCAAGGAGGGACCAGTCCTTGAAGAGGGGCATCATGTATGGGAGAGTGGAGGGACAGCGCAAGAGAAAAAGACCCTCGATGAGATGGATCGATTCAGTGATTGGGGTAATGAGAGTAGGAGTGTCGGAGTGAGGTTGGCACAGGATAGAGCAGGGTTTAGGGCTCTTGTACAAAGGGTCACTATGAGTCGCGAGTGACTAGACAGCACATAACACGAACAATCTTTTCTAGCTAGAAAACAAGATTGAGGCCTGTTTATAATCTCTTTGATGTCTTTAAATGATACTCTTGGTGGTGTGGTTCTTCTTAGCCAACCTTTCTTTATCTTTCCTTCACTCAGACATTACATTAATTTTCCAAAGCATGTGTACAGTTGTTTAATCCATGGTAATCACTCCCAGTTGCATCTTAAGTATTGTTCTCAAGCTCATTGTTCCCAAGGTGATGTTGCTAACACTCAATCAAGCTAGCCCTGCGAGATGCATATCCTTTCACTTTTCTGTTTTCATTCTCTTTCCAACCTCTCACACCCTCTCCTTCCTGTCTGTCTTCTCCTGTGTTTTCTTTTATGCACTAAGCTTCAGAGACAGGCCAAGATGGGCTGTGATTTGGGGGCAGGTTTCTGCCTGAACTCACAGGTGCTAGGAGAGCTGGTTGAGACCCTACAGTGACCGCGTTCACTAGAATCTACAACCCTTCAAAGTTGTAGATTTAATATTACCAAGAACAGGAAAACACAAAAGATCAACTAATGATAAAGTTAACTTCTGTGGTGAAATTTGTAATTCCAGAACTGCCTCCTCCGTTGCTTGCTCCCTCACCTTACTGGCACCTCTCCCTCCCGCCACAGGGCGGTGTCTGGAGAGAGGGACGCAGAGCGATGGTACAGTCCGCGCTCCCCGCGCGCGCCAGGCAGTGGATTCTCCCAGGCCTAGAAAAGCATTGTGGGAAGGCGACTCTGCCTTTCCGCCGACCAGCGCTCCTGCTTCGATTCTCGTGCTGCAGTCTCTCCATGGCGCCTGGCTCTGGACGCGCAGCCACGTGGCCTCTGGCAGTGCAGTCATCGGACAGGGGCTCGCGGCCGCCCCGAGCTTGGTGCGCGGCCGGGCGCAGGCCAGAATGCGGGGGGCGCAGCACGTCCCGCGTGCCGAGACCATGCAGCCGCGTTTCCTTAGCTGGAGTCTGGGGTGACTCGTTAACACGTAGTTACTGAGCATCGACTGCATGCCACCAAGTTTTCTATAAATGAGGGTGTTTTTCGTGAAAACCCTTAAACTAAAGTTAGTCCATGTAGAAGTAAATAAAAGATGCCACTTGGGATTTTAAATGTTTATAGGCTTTCACCGTAGACGTGGAACTTGACGGAATCAACTTACCAACTTCAGGTACGTGCGTTATTAGCCTAGGGAGTTTATTGGGACTGATCGTTAAAATTGTGTCTTAGCACTTTTTTGTGTTTCCTTTCTTCCAAAGTGAGCTTTTGAATCTTAAGTAAACTGCATTTTGTTAATTTTTTCTTGTTCATACAAAACCAGGTCGTTTCATCCAGTTGATGCTTGTCAGCAGTTTGGTACCACAGATGACAGGGTTTCTAAAGGCCTTTGTGTTGCCCATTTACTTTTGGAAACTAGTGAATGTGGTGTCAAAAAAGGCATAAATTAAACTCTTTGCAGCCACTTTCTGTGCCTATGAATTCGGTTTCATTTGTGTAGGAGCTGCATAAGTTTACAGTTTATATACTTTACAGATCACAGATGAAGGTTTTTTTTAATACTACAAGAATGTATGGTTTCTTAACTAGTTGTAATGAATTTTGTGTTTCAGGATGAAAATCGATGCGTGTAAATGGTTACTGCTGTTTTAATCCCATTTACAAAAATGTTTTCAGGTATGTTGAAGTAGAAATTGTTTTGTCAAAACCAAGTTGTTAGTAATCGTAATTGTCCCCCTTCTACAGGGGGAGGCCTTGTCTATACCACTGCATTGGAACTGACCCTACAGTTGACTTTCAAATGCAGAAATCACAAGGAAATTGCCCACCTTTCTGCCACAGGGCAGCTGGTAGAGTCTACCTGTGCTCCTTTGGGTTGGCAGCTCTACTTCTAAGCCCCAGAGCTCCCTAGAGGGTTCTGTTGTGTGCCATTGAGTTGGAACCAACCCATAGCTGACCCTCCAGCAGGTTTTCAGAGGCATTCGGTCAGTGGAAGTCTCCCACAGAGCAGCTGGTGGGTGTGAACCTTATTTTTGGGATTACAGCAGTATTTTACCACGAGACTACCAGAGCGAGCGCCTTGAGGCCTCTAGGGGATATTAATTGGTGTTAATGCTTTGTTTTCATAATTAATACTGTTGCATCTGCAGTTTTCCAAAGTTAAACAGCAAATAGAACAGTTTCTTGCCATGTCAATCTTTACAAAGGCTTTGGTGACATTTTCCTGTGTTAATAGTGGGGTTCAAGATGGGGGCCATTGCTTGCCAGATTCAGTGTGCTTTCTTATTTCTTTCAGGATGTTCACCGTGAAGATTTTTGGATCTTCAGAGGGGTTGCTTGGATTCCCATTTACCTGAGTCTGAGGGATATTAAAAGAATTACCTTTAAACCGTCAATCATTTAGTAACTATCAGAATATGAATAAATGTTTTAATAGTGTTTCTTGGAAGTTTGTGTTTTGAGTAATTGCAATCAAAAAGGATTATTGTACTGAAACATACAGGATCCCCCCAAAAGAGTTATTCACACCTTGAAGAGAACCTTCAAATTACATTGTCATATGATCTATTTTACTTGATTAATTTACCAAACTTAACAATTAAGGATTCTCATTCTAGAGGTAGGTCGTGGGAGTGGAAAGGTTATCATTTTACAATAAAGTCTGATAAGATTAATAGCATGATGGAATTGTAGTCACCTGAAGTTATGTTCCAGCTAGTTAGAACCAACTCGCAGCTGGGTTTCAGGGGCAATAGTATGGGAGAAGATTATCCATCTTTATACCACAGAGCTACTGGGGGATTCAAACCACTTGCCTTTGGGTTGGCAATGCAACTCTTGACCACTAACAGCACCAGAACAAGATTAGCTGGTGTCTAGGTTCTAATTAAACTTTCTATTGTCAACTGCAAAGGGTGTGGTGGGTTTTTTCCCCTTTCCTTTATACCAGAAGCATTCTTAGACATACTTCTGCTTTTTCTTTTTACCACAAAGACCAAAAATCAGTCATTTAAAAACATTTATTGAAAGCACTGTGTACTAGGTGCTGGGAACACAGAAGCACTATACAATTCCTCCCTCTGGACAACTGGAAGGACATGTTCTCACATGTAAAACTGCCTTTGCAATACAATTGGTGTGGTAGGATCTGTCCAAGTCAAGAACCTGAGAAAGGAGTTGAGTGCAAGTGCCCTATTTTCCATTCCAAGGCAAAGTGAGGACAGGGAGGTGGTGAGTCAGGCAGCCAGTATGAAAATTTATCTGATTGGCCACTCCTTTTTTTAGTACTTTAGTTTATAGATAATGAATACTTAATGAGGCTTGTAAAAAGGCCATTATATGTTGTTGGAAAATGACAGTGGAAAGGCAGAAGTTAAATCTGTTAAGGCCTTGGCTTTGTTAAATTGAAAATCATGATAGAGGGATGTCAGTGGGCTATTGGTAATCAACTCTTAAAAAATTGTTCACTCATTTCCATGAGTTGGAACTTGATTCATAGCTTACTCTGCAGGTTTTCCGAGACCTTGGAAGCGCTCTCCCATAAAGCAGCTGTTTGATTCCAGCCACCAGGAAGGTGCCACCTTTTGGCTAGTAATGGAATTCTCTTACCTATAGGCAACCAGAGCAGCTATAAGAATACAAGTACAGCTGAACAGGGGCACTTGAAAGCTGTTGAACTGTCTAAGAAGTACAAGTGGCTTCTGATGGATGGGGCAGGGGGGAATATTTGTTGTCTAGAGAAATTTTAAGGCCATGAGTCTGGGGTTTGAGAAAACCATAAGAGGTAGAATAGTAAAAGCTGCAGCTGTGGCGTTTAAGAAAGCAATCATAAGTATTTAAAAACAATTGGTTAGGGTCGAGTTCAAAATAAAATGGAGATCGTGAAAAAGTTGGAGGGGATAGAATCTAAGCATGAAGAAAGAACTGGGAGCTGTGAAGCAGTGTGTATATGACAACAGGAAGATGAAAGTTCTGAGTACTGGGTAAACAGGTCCGAAATACGGAGCGTGGCCTGGATCCTCCATATGAGAATGAATGGGAATATGTAATGTCGAGATGAACTGAAATGCTTTTTCTTTTTCTCTGCAAACTCCAGGGACACTTTAGAAATTAAAAGGCAATATTTTAAAAGGAGCTTTTTACATCAGTAAATCACCAGTGGAATTTGCTGCTATAAAGTAGAGTGTACAAAGGACAATATGAGTAAAGGATCTGCAGTTTTGAAGTTATGCCATAGGCCTGATGCATTAAACGCAGAGTTGGGAGTCTTCTTCCTGCTTGTACCACACCAACTGCAGTCCAAGAGTCCAAACCTTGGTTCTGAACACAGGTATTGTTCCAGTGATGGTGGTATTATAGTCCAGTGTGGAGATGTGAGATCAGTACACTTTTTACAAGACTGCCCAGGTTACCAAACTGAGAAAGCCCTTAAGCACAAGTATGCTGTAGTTTAAAGAAGCAAGAGACTTGCGAAGAAACACTTGCAGGTCCAAGATGTTTGCGCAATTATATAATTCACAGTTTCAAAGTAACAGTGGCACACACCCTTCCCACCCCCATCCCAAACCCTTCTTCACTGGGATCAAGTCTCTATCTTGAGGCGTGAAGCTTGGACAGTTTTTACTGTTTTTGCTGTGTGTTTTCCAGCCAGATTGTTTGTAGATGTCTGAGATTTTTCTTCAATCAGGCTATCTTTAGACTCATTTCGTCTCTAAAAAGAATATATAGAGAGAAAGTGAGATATAACCAAGTCTTAAAATTTGACAACATATATTGAGTATTTTACCCATGGAACTTCTTTCTAAATCTCATTTACCCAAATAAATAGCATCTCATACACAGTTGTTAGGTGCCATTCACTGAGTCAACGACAGTTCCTAAACCAAGTACATCTAAACTCTGAATACTTCTTCAAGGAGGACAAGATGAAGGGGATAAGGAGGCTGAGGCCATTTATAATCTAACCTGATTATATATATTGCTGGCAGTCACTGAAATAACTCCAACAATGCAATAATGCCCTGGGGCTCCCCATAACTCCATTTGGAGCTAGAGAACTGGGAGAATGAATGTCTCAAGGGGTCTGGGAGTATGAGTGCCACTGATGACTTTAATCTAATCCCTTTACTCAGCGGCTTCCTTTTAGTCCTCAGTATAAGCTAGAGTTCTGGTGGCCTAGTGTGTAATGTAGTGGACTCCCAACCGAAAGAAATATGGCTTCTGACAAACCTATTTTATGTAATTACCTATTGGTTCCCTAACTTGGTGAACTTGGTTCTCAAACTTGAAACACTGAGTTGGTTCCAAATCATAGTGATCCTCCATTGAGTCCAAAAAATTTTAAAGAGGAGGAGATTGTCCATCTGTCTCTTCAGAGGCACTGGTGAGTTTGAAGTGCCAGATCCATAGTCTTTTTTTTTTTTTAAGCTTTAATTTAGATGCATAGTCTTTGAGTTGGTACATTTTCCTAGGAACTAGACCACCACAGGCCCTTGGCTGGATTTGGCCCGAAAGATGATCCCTTGCACAGGTATTCCTAGTGCCCAAAGTCAATCGGTACCTGTTACTCCTTAAATGTGTTCATCAGATATTAAGTTTAAAATCAAAGAGATAGGCTTACATCTATCCATTAGAAGATGCATATGTTACTGGGGCAGAAAAGGAAAAACTTTCAACACTAATATGTATGCCAAGATTAGTGATGAATATTTTTAAAAACAAGTGTGAAACAGAAAAAAAAATTAGTGATGAGTAATATCTAAAGCAGCTAGAAAAACAAAAATACAGTTAAGATTTCCAGTTATATAGGAGCTAACTTAAATATAATACAAAAGCCCTGAAAAAAAAGTGCTAATATACACAATAACTCATACGGTATGTTATTAAGTACATTATTTGGAAGCAGGAGTGGCATCCACTTCTGAAATAGCTTGCCTCCAGAAACTCTATGAAAATGGAGAAATGAAGAAAGTTAATACAAATGTTCAGGTCTTTTGTTCATCAGGTTGCTGTAAGTCATCTATAACTCGACAGCACTTAAAACAACAACAACATAGAACTTAAGGCTTAGATAATTTGCTCTAAGTCACAGAAATAGTGGTTGGAGATGAGACATGTAAGAAAGTCTGCAGAAAATTTAAAAAAAAAATTTTTAAAAAAGTAAGCAGTGATAGCCAAGTGATGTGTAAGGCTCAGCTCCCTTCAAGACAGAATGAATCTGAAGGGCCATCTCCGCACCAGAGCTCCCCACAGGCATCAGTGGTGCCTTTACTGGCACTGGGTTACATTTCAACTCTTGCTTCTGCCCAGACATCGTAGTCTAGTCCCATTCTTGCTCCTGCGCAAATCTACTCTCCTTCATTCCACAACAAATGTTGAGCAAGGTAAAGGGCGTTCAGTAAAATTCCTGCTCAGAAATCTAGTTCTGTGGGACCTGACCTCAATTAGCAGAAGATTTTCCTTGTTCAAATCATTGATAAAATTGTAAAATAGAACAGAAGAAGGCAGGACACACAGGATGCCCCTGGGTCCAAGCTCCTGGGGAGTAGTCCGTGAACTCCGCGAATTTATATACAAAATTGGATGGGCTTAAACACACTGTTACAGGAAAGGAGACAGTAATTGCAATTTACAAAATTATCCACAAAAAGACTGAAAATCACATTACGACAAATGATAAGACTGTTGCTGGTCCACAATATCAACTTTGGTTTGAATGGGACTTCTAAGTAGCTCCAAGCTACCTGCCCCCACTTATCTTTTCCCACCTTGTTAAAAAAATATAAGAAATATTGACATGTTTTACTATGAAACTTTTTGTATACCACTAATTCAGCTGAGTTTTAAATTGATATTGTTAAAGCAGCTATGTGTTCCATAATATCCTTAAGTTCCTTAAAAAAAAATTGCAAAGTTAAAGCCATTCTCTTTGATGGGGAAAGATAGATACAAAATAGGCCTTCATTACTTTTGTTATCTGCCTTCAGTTAATAATGACATCTACTACAGATAGAAAGAAGCAGGAGTGGAATCCAATTCCTAAATAACATGCCTCCGGAAACTCTCTGAACTTTGATAAATGTTGATAGTTGTGGAGGGGCTTTCAGGCCTTTTGTTCATAGGGTTGCTATGATTGTGCTCTACTTGAAGACAATCAACAATTCCAAAGATACTATCATGTTCTAGCTTCACAGTCTCAAAACAAAACACCCAAACATATTTCTAAAAGTATTTTAACTAGTGAAGCTATTTTTGTTGATACTCAGGTTACAGATAAAATCGTCATTACCCTTTGCTTTGCTCCCACACACCACTAGGTCATTGTGGACTTTATACTTCTGGCTCTTATTCCTAACTTAACTCTTTGCACGTTATAACTTGGTTCTTGTTCAGACACTCTTCCTTCTTTCTCCTTCTGTGTTAGATGTAGATGCTCTTTAGAACACAGAATCACAATGAGGTTAGATAAACCTCCCTGCCCCCCAAAGGAGCCTTTAGAAAGGTGTTTATTGAAATTGTTGTCACTCAATACCTTAATTAAAATTTTATTATTACTAACCTGATGTATGATGAAGCCACCAGAACCTGGTGTATCTGAAGAACGGGTCACCGGAAGTGGAGGTACTAGATCTGTTTTTGAGCTGCAGAAAGTGAGGATTAGAATTAATAACTAGGAGTGTACCAAGAATCTCTACTTGACTTGGATAGAGCTATAGGATATAACACATATTTTATGCGCCTTTAATAATTCCATTAATAGATGTCTTAAAACTAAGAAGAGATATTTTCTTAAAATCACAGTTAATAATAAATGGAAGAATTAAATAAAATATATCGGATATGTCTCTATGTACTTTTCTCATTGTGTCAGATTATCACATGATTTTACTTATTTAGGCAAACTCATTGCTATGTATGCCTCTTTTTTTTTAATTTCATGGAGCTTATAGAACCATGATATACGTTTTTACAAACAAAAGCAAATGAAAAACCTCTTTCCACTAGACAAGCCTGTTGGACAACTTATTTAATGTTTATTTAAAGTTCTGAGCTCTATCTAATTCAGAGTGTGCTGGCTAACATTTTTACAGAGCAATATCAAATACATGAATCTTCATGACTAAGACTTTGTAAGTGAATGTTACTTCCTTCTAAACCTCTTGTATATTGCTTGAGGGTGTCTTGATTTGGACAAGTATGCTGAAATCTGTACTGTCCAAGAATAGTCATCAGCTACATGTAGATATTTAAATTTAATCAAAATTAACTAAAAATTTAGTTTCTTAGTCATACTAGCCACATTTCAAATACTCAGCACACTTATGTATGTTATGTACAGATCAGTCCACTTTAGTAGAAACATCTAGTGGACTCCCTGGCCTGGTCTACAGTGAGGATGATGATACACACAAGTCGGCCCACTTACTTCACTTCTGAGAGAACAGATCTCTCTCCGTCTGAACACTGCGACCTGCGGTACTGGCGATAACTCCGTGGGGAATGAGAATGCCTGATGCGGATTGGGTCACCTTGAGTCCTAAACAAGCAACCAGAAAAATAACACCAGAAGTCAGACAGGAAAAATTTGGAATTCTTTATCTTGACACCTCAAAGGAATAATGGCTTTGAGTTTTAAAAAGAACTTGATTCCAGGCTTCTGAGAGCCAAAGTGCTTTACAGGTTCACAAATTATAGAAAAGCACTCAACTAGTCTGATCATAAAAATGAAGCTCTTCATATTTGTAGTTATGTGCCCTTGAGTCCCCTGTGACTCACAGTGACCCTATCTATTGTACAACAGCCCTGAACTCTGACCTATTTTGAGCCATTTCATTGTGTCTAACACATTTCCTTCCACTACCCCATGCACTGAGTCAATCCATCTCACCCAGGATCTTCCTCTCTTGCACTAACCCGCCACCCTTCCACGCATGATATCCCTCTCCAAGGACTGGTCCCTCCTGGCAACATGCCCAGAGTGTGTGTGAAGGAGCTTCAAAATCCTTGCCTCCAAGGAGCAACCTGGTTTCACCCTCTCCCGGACAAACCTGTTTATTCTCTTAGCAGTCCATGGTACATTTAATATTTTTCTTCAGCATCATGACTCAAAGGCATGATTTATAGAACCATGATTTACGTTTCTTCTGTCACCCTTAGTCACCGTCCAGCTCTCTGATGCATAGCAAGTAACTGTGAAGACCATGGCCTGGTATTGGATGCATGCATCTTACTCTCTGATACCGCTGTACTTCAGTACTCTGGAGAGGTCCCTGACAGCAGATTTTCTCAACATAATTTGTCTTTTCATATCCTGGCTACTGGTACCAACAGTGTTGATTGTGAACCTGAGTAAACTGAAGCTTTTAATAATCTCCATCTCTTCATTTATCTTAATGCTACCAATTGGCTTAGTGGTGAGAATCTTTATTTTCTTGATGTTGAGCTTCAGTACATATTGAAGGCTGCAATCATTGACCTTCTGCATCAAATGCCTCAGGTACTCCTCAGTTTAGGTAAGTAAAGTCATATAATCTGCGTAACACAGGCTGTTGATGAGTCTTCCTCCAATCCTGATGCCACAATCCTCCTCATAGATTCCAGACTCCTGAGTGATCTGTTCTGCATATCGATTGAAAAGGTTGGGAGATACTGTGCATCCTTGGTGTATGACTTTCCTGATTTTGCAATGTTTCCTTGCTTTGTTCTGACAACTGCTTCCTGGTCCAGTCCAAGTATCGATTTCTCACTAGCACAATCAAGTGTTCTAGGATTCCCATTCTTTTCAGGGTCAGACACAATTTGTTAGGATCCATAAAGTCAAATGCCTTTACATAGGCAATGAAGCATAGATTCCTCTGGTACTCTCTGCTTTCAGCTAAGATCCATCTAACATTGGCTATAAGGTCCTTAGTGCCGCAGCCTTGTCTAAACCCAGGCTGCATATCTGGCAGTTCTCTGTTAATGTGCTATTCCAGTCATTTTTGGCTAATTTTCAGCAAGCTGCTCACTAGAACCAAGATGTTTGCCAGAGACCACATGTGGAGACTGCCCAGCAGTGTGGGGACCTCCCAGCTGGCCACGTGAACACAGCTCTTTATATTGTCTGTGTAAATACTTTAATTAATTAACTCCCTATGGGTGAATTTTCTACTGTGATCGGGAAGAAAAAAACCATAATCTTTTTGATTACTTGCTTTGCAGCTGAAAGTCAGACAATGACTAAGGATGACAAGAAAAGAACTGATGCCTTTGAGTTGTGCTGCTGGAGAAGAGGGAGAAGAGTGCTGAATAGCCCATGGACTGCCAAAAGGACAAACACATATATCTTGGAAAAGGTTGCAAGCAGGGTGCTCCTTGGAGGCAAGGATAGTGAACCTCTGCCTCACATATTTTGGCATGTTAAAGGGGGGCAGGCCTTGAAAAAGGACATCATGCTTGGAGGGTGGAGGATGAGTGAAGGAGAGAAAGACCCTCAACAAGATGGATTGACACAGTGACTGTGACAGTGGGCTCTACTATGTCAGAGATGGCACAGGATACCATTGTCATGGAGTTGCTCTGACTCAACTCGATGTCACTTAACAACAATGTGCAAAATGACATCCCTATTCAGAAAAACCTTTTGCTTTTTTCATGGATGATATCCTTAATATCATCCCACAAATCATCTCATCTTTGATTATTGGTGCTTAACGCTTCAAATCTTAAGATGATTTTAAAATTCAGGTGGGATAGACTCAAGATTAGAACTTGCACATGAGTAACTAACTGATGGTCTGTTCCTCAGTCAACACCTGGTCTGGCTTTGACTGCTGGCTTTGAACATGTTGCTAGGAGATGCTGATCCTTAGAGAGGGATATTGTGCTTGGGAAGGTGGAGGGGTAGAGAAACAGAGGAAGACCGTCAACCAAGTGGCTTAACACAGTGACTAGAAGGATGGGCTCAAGTGTGTTGGAGATTGTGAGGATGGCAAAGTCTAGGACAGGCCTCAGATCTGTCATTCATAGGATTGTTAGGAGTCATACTTGACAACGTCAATGACCTCCTCAACATCCAGAAAAACTGGGAGTGCTGGTGTCCTAGTGGGTAAGGATTTGCACTGCTGTCCCAAAGGTAGGTAATTTGAATCTGCCAGCTACTCTGAGAAAAAAGAGGTGCAATCTTCTTCCATGTAATTTACTCCCTCTGAAAACTTGCTCCGAGTAGGTTCCAACTGGATGGTCCATGCAAACTTAATAACAACACAGAAAAAAATTATTACCTTAGGTACTAACTCTAAAAACACTCATTTCCATGGACTTGGATGTGACCCACCAGCGAGTTTATCTCAAGGGTCTAAAGCTAATGAGAGAAGACTGACTCTCTCTCCTGTGAAGCTGTTTGGTGGATTTGAACCACAAGAGAAACTCCACCTTTGGATTCCTAGAGAAACTCTACAAACTATCCCACCAGAGCTCCCTAGCTACTAACTAGTTCATCATTAAAAATTTAATTAGTAGCCTGAAGATAGGGGCTGAAAGGAGTGTGCACCATTTGTCTCAGGTGGGCGGGAAGAATAGGATGCAGGAGGGAAATAAAAGCAAAGACAGATAAATTAAACCCCTGCTTCCTATTACCAGTTGTAAAACCACTATCATCAAGCCAGTTCTGACTTCGCAGCCCTATAGGCCTGACTAGAACTGTCTACAGGGTAAATAATTATGGAAGCCAATGCCTCATCTTTCTTCTGCAGAGCAGCTGATGAGTTTGAATCTCAAACGTTATTAGCAGACAAAGTCTTAAACCACTGCACCACCAACGCTCTTATAACCAATTATGGAGACACACAAAAAGCCCATAAATTGATCCTAATACAACAGCATCAAGACACCATATCCTACACTTCCTGATAACTCCACTCAACTCATTACTATTGAGTTGGAACCAGTTAATAGCCTCTAGAGGGTTTTCAGAGGCATTTGAGGAGATTGCCCATCTTTCTGCTTTGGGTTGACAGTGCAACTCTTTACGACTAAAGAATGTATCATAAAAAGACTACATTTTTTAAAAGTCTGACATTAATAACACAAAGCCTCTTTTTAGTTACCACATACAAATAAGCGATTAGTAGGAGATGATAAAGACTACACTGAAGAATGAGAAGAATATGTTTTAAATATAATGTTTTCTATCTCTTTCCCTATGGACACAATGAATTTTAGTTAAAATGCAAAGCCAAGCACTGCATGGAATGCCACCGAAAAGACTGCTCACTTTTGATTACTACTAAAATGTCTGTGAAAAGCTTTTCAAAGACATACTTACTCTACTTTAGTGTATGGAATCTCCTTTAACTGTTCCTCTGATAACCCAGATGGATCCACAAGTTCCTTTCTGGAGAAGATGAGAAAATGGAAATTGTGATGCTGGCATATATATTCTAGTATCTTTCACAACTGGGAGTTGAGTTTTTTTTCTTTCTACTCTTGTCTCAGAACATGTGTTAGTAAAACTTTAAGCAGGAAACAAATATTTTCAAACTAGCAAGTGTTCAGGGGGAAAAAAAGGAGGATGAAAACCTTATCTGTAGTTTTTTTTTTCTTCCAATTTTTTGACATCCAGCCTTTTTATATTTCATCCCCTCATTTCCTTATTTAAAAAACAAAACAAAACCCCAGAACAACAAAAACCAACCTGCTTCTCTCCCCTGTAGCGTGTGTTTAACTCCCAAATCTGATTTCTTTGATGTTTCTGTGTACAATATTTGCTCATCTAGGGTTCACTCAGAAGAGAGGTCCAATGACCTTAGGAGAGGAGGTGCTCTAGCGGCCTCCAGAGCCCACCTCTCTGGTACTGTTGATGGGAGTACTGTATCCGGGGGCGTCGTGTGGCACATGATGGGGATGAGAATAAAGAGCATTTGACAGATTTCAGGCAGTTGCTGCCTGTGTCAGTGGCCATTCTTGTATATCCCTTAAACTACATTGGTTTTTAAAACCATGGATCAGTACTCACTGAATATGCTTCCACAACTCTTCTTTTGCTTGGATATCAGGGCTTCTCCTAGAGATAGAGAAAACAATACTTAATCTCTGAAAAAAATAATGTTGTTCTGTCTTACAATGTAATAGCTAGCCTTAACAGAGCCACAACATTAATAAATTTCAGAGGCAGTTTGTCAGCTAAACCCAGTCAAGGAAAGACTTGGCAGGGGAGGTTATGTGATTCTACAGAGATACTAAATGAATCAAACAAAAACTAGAGTAGGACTTCATTTATTGAAAGAACTTAGAATTTAACCCCATATCCACACACACCAGTGGTGGTTATACAGGTCCACTACTTCTATTCTTTCCAGTTATTTCCAAGTAGAGCAAAAATAATAGCCTATCCTTATTCTGTTAATATGAAGGACTCTCAATGTCATATCTGACTAATAGAAAAAAAGAAACTGGTGGAATAACACTGTAATAGTCATATTTTAAAAAAGAACTCGTATACATTTTATTTTATATCATTAATTCCAATTGGTTAATACAATAAATTGCAATGTCGCATTAAACCCCCATTGTTCCATTGTTGTTCCTTTCACTCTAACAATAATATTTTTTTTTAACTAAAGAGAAGTCTCAAATGGTCAGTTTTAAGGTAAGGGAAAATTCCACAGCTAAAATATCAAATGCAAATTTCCTCCAGTTGCTAGACCACCACCTGTGATTTTACAAATGTAAACACAAGCTACATGCTAATGAGGAATGTATTATTTTTATGCCTGCATCTGCACACACTTAATCAATAATTTAGCAAAAATTCATGATCTGCAGCTCAACATTATTCTGCGGATTTAGAAAGCTATGCAATTTTAACAGCCATTTTTCTTAATTAAAAGACTGTTAATTATGCAGATGTTTTACTTGAACTCTCAAAAAAAGTCCCTATGGAAATAGAACATTGAGCAATCTATAGATGTGACTGCTAAAAAGAAATACGTTGTCCAATCGTAGTTCAATATTTTAATGAAGCATTCCTTATCCACACCTTACACACATGTCTCATTTTAAATGAATACTTGTTTTTGGCAGGGAGAAAATAGTTTCAAAAGACATCAGTTGGAAATAATCTTCCCTTCTTCTAAACATCTAAAATAAGAATGTTGTTGTTGTGTATCATCAGGTTGGAACCAAACCACAGCTGACCCTCCAGGGGGTTTTCAGAGGCAGTTAATCACGCAGAAGATTGTCCATCCTTCTTCTGTGAAGCAGTTGGTGGCCTCGAACCATGTGCCTTTCAGAATTGCAGCACAGCTCCTTGCCACTAGGCCACCAGGGGTTTAGGCTTTATCAACGCACATAGTGTGTTTTTCTACAATGAATGGTTGTCACCTGTGAATCAACCCTGACTCATGGGGACCATGAAAGTGCCGGGTACAAAGAACCTCTTCATGGGGTTTTTAATGCAGTGACCTCTTGCCAGGTGTGTCTTTAAAAGTGCTTCTGCGTGTGCTGATGCTACCAACATTTGGGTAAGAATAGTCAAGTACTTTAAATGTGTGTGCCATCTAGGGACTTTTATGTATCCCTTACATCCTTTAATATATCATCTAAGAAATATTTATTGTTGTGGTTATTAAATGTCATCAAGCTGAGAACGACTAACAGTCGACCCCTCCAAGGGATTTTCAGGGGCTGTAAATCACATGGAAGGATAGTGCCTATTTTCCTTCCACAGAACAGCTACTAGATTAAAAATGTTTGTCTTTGGGCTGGTCGTGTAATTCCTTACCACCTCTGGTGGCTTAGTGGTAAGGAGTTACACTGCCATCCCAAAGGCATACAGTTCAAATCTGCCTGCAGCTTCATGGGAGAAAGATAGGCCATCTCTTCCTGTGCAATGAACTGTTTCTGAAAACCTACTGGAGGATTAGCTGAGTTGGTTCCAAATTGATGGCACATAAAAACAACATCATGCCACCAGAGCTCTCTACTATGATGCATGCTATATAATATATTAAATATGCTACACACTCTTGGCACCAGCAGCCAGGAAATATAAAAAAAAAACCCCACCATATTCCGATGGGAAAGTGTGCTGTTAGGGACCTCTGCAGGGTACTGAAGAGCAATGGTGTCACTCTGGAGACTAAGGTGTGTCTGATACAGGCTATGGTCTTTGCAATCACTTGTTATGCATCACTGAGTTGGACAATGCCTAAGGAGGTTAGAAGGAGAATTGATGCCTTTGAGCTGTGGTGCTGGAGAAGAGTATTGAATGTACCATGGACGATAAGAAAACAAACAGATTCACTCTGGAGAGGGTTAAACCTGGCTGCTCCTTGAAGACAAGGATTCTGGGGCTTCGTCTGACATACTCTGGACATGTTGTAAGGAGGGAAAGGTCTTTGGAGAGGGACATCATGTTTGGGAGGGTGGAGGCATGGCACAAGAGGGGAAAACCTATGAGGTGGATTGATTCAGTGACTGGGGTAATCGGGATGGGTGTGTCAGAGGTAGTGCGATTGGCACAAGATAGAGCAGGGTTTAGGGCTGTTGTATAAAGGGTCTCTATGAGTTGCAAGTGACTCGACGGCACATAACAGCAACAACAACACGCACTGTATTTTGCAAACTACATTTTATAGAGGGAGCTTTGGTGGCTTAGCAATAAGGAGCTGTACTGCCAGCTAAAGGCACGTAGTTCAAACCCACCTGCTGCTCTGCAGGAGAAAGATGGGAAATCTCATCCCATGTTTTCACTGTCTGTTTGCCAGCAACGAACAGCAACACCCTGACGGGGGTAGGCAAGACAGACACACACCACTCTGGGAGCCATTCAGAGAATCGATCCACCTCAATTTTATTGGGAGCTACAGCTCACTTATATACAAACAAGTAAACAGGAAGACAGGATAGGGTGGGCTTATAGACATGGGACATGCAGATTGGATCGGAGAATGTCAGTCTTGTGTAGACTACTCCCAGCTCAACAGATGTGGCACCCATCTTCCCAGGTGGTGAGCTTTCTCAAGTCTGTACAGCCAAACACAGGAGAGCTTTCTCTACCCTGTATTAAAGTCCACTGGGAGGCTTGCACTTATCCAGAGCTAGATGATCTGTCTTGGCCAGAGGCCCTCCATACCTCCCCATGTGATTTACTGCCTCTGAAAACCTACTGGAGGGCCCTTTTGTTCTGACTTTACAGTAAGTATATAGCAACAACGTATTTTATAGAGTGTTGGTGAAGAATACTATGGACAGACAAAAGAACAAGGAGCCCTGGTGGCATAGTGTGTTGCTACATGTTAAGCAGATAACTCAAAGATCAGCAGTTCCATTCTACTAGCTGCTTTATGAGAGGGAAAGGGCAGTGTAAAGATATACAGCTTCAGACACACAATGAGGGTCACTATGAGCTGGTATTGATTCAATGGCTTTTGGTATTTTTGAAGAGCTACAGTTAAAATCCTCCTTAGATACAAGGATAATGAGACTACTTCTCAAAGACTTTGGATATATTATCAAGAAAGGCAAGTCTCTAGATAGAAATTTACTTGATAAAGTAAAAGGTCTAAGAAAATGAGGAAGACTCTCAACTAGATGGATTGACACTGTGGTGGCAAAAATGGGCTTATGCATAGTAGCAATTATGAGGACAATTTATGATTAGAGTGTTGAAGATAGGATTGCAATATGTCAGAGCCAACTCAACAGTATCTAATAATAACTACAATATATGATTTTTTAAATTCATTTTAATGAACATTTACAGAGATTTTGGATTTTCATTCATTCATTCATTGCTGCACTTTTTTCTTTACCCCCTTCCTCCCAATTCACTCCTCTCTTTGAAAAACAAAAGATAAACTTCTTCTTTG